ACAAGCAGGCGATCTAATAATCACTGATGACAAGTGAGTTCAATCTAGATTACAAGGTTCTTGTCAACCAGATATGATCTCGCTGTGAGGGTCCAGAGATATTTCCTCATGGCATCTACTGACCCAACAAGTTATAGGGAGAAGGAAGAAGTGAGAAGGAAGGAGGAAAAAAGGGTGGGAGAAGCGAGACTTCGCGAGTGACAAGTATCCTGAGACAGTTCAGACCACTGCTCACTGTAGTGCACACCCTGATAAGATGTCGCTGCAGACGAAAGGGCGTGTTCAGCGGAATGAGTTTGGCGCCGTGCCGAACCTGTTCTCAACCAGTTTTGGAGCGAGAAAGTGATAGGACTGTATCACATCGTTCGTATGACATGTTTTCTACCAAATGTTCTTACATACTCTCTTAAACAAGTGGCAAAGAACGTGCCGCCGTGACACACTCATACTGCATAACACGCCCCTTCGTCCGCACTGAAATAGACTATAAGTCACTCCATTCGCTAGCTGGTCTCCCACTGACGTCACTAGTCACGAAACGGAAACATTGCGAAAGAGAAGGATCCCAAAGAAAGAACTACCAGTTCCGAAAGATCACCAGACAGGGCACATCATTAGTTGGGATTTTGGTCGAGTCCGTACTACCTTCCCCCTTAAAAGGGGGCGGTATATGGCACATGTGAAATAGGCAGAGCCAAGGAAAATTCTTCCCAACTTCTTCCCGTGCATTGTTCTCAGTAGGCGAATACTTCCCTCCCACTCTCCCAACAACGAGCGAATGCGATCTCCTTACAGCGCCCGTTAAACAAGAAAAATCAGCTGTCGAAAAAATTTCCAGACTCAATGCGATCCCCTCCCCCTCCGCCAGCGACTAAATGCGACCCCCTGTTGGAAGAAACTCCAACGATGATGTGCAATATCACCAGAAATGTGCGCTAGCATCATTTTGCTCTGGAGGGGGGGGGGGTCTGCAGCGAGGCTTAACATCAGTCACGTGGTGTTCTGATGCGAGAAACTTCTCCTTCATTGAGAGGGAAGAGCGAGCAGGCATGGCGTGGTTTCTCACCGCTTTAGACTGATCCCTGCTGAAACACGTACCACGTGAGTGTTACGGATCCGTGCTGCCACAATTCATACCAAATCAAATTATCTCTTCCCATTTTGATACCGTTCAGCTAAAACTAGCACACAAATGCCCCTAGCCAGCTGGAAATTGAAGGAATTAAACTACTCGACGTGCAGAGGTTCTTCGCTGAACCAATCTTTGAGCAAGTTCCAATTTCACAACTCGTAAGTGCCTGATAAAGGCTCTATGTCTTAGCGGGGATAACCTAACTCCACCTCCATAAGCTGGATCCACCATTAACATTTCGTTTTATCACGCTCAGAGCCAATAGGATAATTATTTAGGGCGTGTTCCGTTTGGTTTGCCTTCTTTCTTCCCATACATTCCACTTACTACACAGTCCCACGATTCTACCTATAACCTGCGTCCTACAACCAGCAGGTGGAGTCGAGAGAGAGATTGCACCCGGGTGTCACTTGCCTTCAGCCCCGTTCCCCTGAATTTTTGAACGTTTAAAATGGCAGGCTGCTACAGCTGCAGACCCAATCATGTAGTACATGGAAAGTACAGTCCTAGCAGGTGAGTGCACAGGGTACTTCCAAAAGCACACTTCGCGATCGCAAATCGTTGAAGGTGGAATTAAGTACGGATGGGTTGTACTCAACTTAATAGAGTGAATAGATGCAAAAAGAAACGTTCGAAAAAATTAATTCATCATAACAAGGGTGTTATGGTGGAATATGTGGCAGGATGGACTGGAATGCTCACACATCTGGGCGTGCCTCTTTATGGCTGTGAGGTCGTGCTCGACGTCTGTTATGCAGCAACAATCATCAAAGTATACCGGTAAATCCAATGGCTATCCATGTTACTTCAAAGAGAGTGCGGGTTCGATGGATTACCAGAACACCATCCCCTTAATCATCTGTTGGAACCAACATCATGATGTCGCAACATGAACAAAGTGACGCTTTCATCTGACGAATTATAGGGGAGTTCGGCCCGGGGGGGGGGGGGGGGGGGAGAGGAGGCGTTTTGCACTTTCGCTAGTTCCTATCGGCGTGTCTGCCCATCTAGAGAGCTACTTCATGAGCTTAAGAGGTTAGCTTAAGAGTTGACAGGTTTTACCATGCTTGTTCAGCTTGCTCTAGCTTCACAGGAGTTTACAGCTTTCACCTGAGTGGGATTTGTAAGCCGGAACTTGTTAAGCAGCAAAAGTGCAATAACCCCACAGTCGCCGAGCTGCCCCGCTTATATATGGGGAGATATGACAGAAGTTCATCATGTCAGTTGAATTTAGTGTACATGGGATTTTCAGCCTCGATGAAGACGATCGTAGGTTCAACCGCTATGAGGTGCAGCTGAAGTACAATGAAGGGAGATACACAGCCCTTTACCTGATTTCGCGGCAAGTTTGCGCAAAGTGAGAAGTGATTTCTGCCGTAATCAATGCATAGTATAAAATAATTTTGTATTACCTTAAAATGTATGCAATTAAACATAAATACCCAAATATACTTCAGTAACGAGACTGTGGAAAAGAATACTCTGTTCGCTATGAAAACCAGCATTCGGCCGTATAGCGTGAACATCAGCCTTCGAATGAAGGTCTGTCCGACGACGTCATTGGGAAGAGTTCGGCGACAGGGAGGGGAGGGAGGGGGCAGAGGGGCATTTTGCACTTTTCCTACTTCCCATCAAGGTGTCGACACTTCTAGAGAGCTACTTCTGATCTTAGAAGGGGAAACAGATTCCCCGTGAGACTAGACGGTTGCGTCAGCTTGACAAGTGTTCACAGGTTTCGAATGAAACTTGTAAACCGGAAGTAGTGAAGCAGCGAAGGTTCAAAATGCTCCCTCGTCGCCGAACTGCGTTCCGTTATTGTACTCCAGACATAGTGTGGTGAGATTGACCATTCATCCTTTTTCAGCGTGAACTTCGGATCCTGAATGAGCTAAAGAAGAACAAATGTCCATACTGTCCCATCGTTCTCGATAGTGGACGAGTAGCGGACTTACCGTTCATAGGTGACTTGTAGTTCTATACGGAAACAGAAATGTTCTGCAAAAGTCCCACTGAAAAATGCTGTAATGAAGAGCTGATGGCCTATTCCGATCAGATTTCGACCCACTTATAGTAACTGGTGTTGCAATCAGAAAATGACAGGATGTGTGCATTGGTGGATTGCTGGAGTGCACCTGGAGACGCCAGAGAGAGAGAGAGAGAGAGTATTCAGAGAGCTCACACCCTTTCTGCCACGGGTCAACCTGAGAACTTTGCGCTGTGGACCGTGTACTTATGCCATCATTAACCCAGATAAACTGTAATTACCCTATCTGCGCTTACGCCGTAAAACAAGAACGCCCGCTTGTCATCGTAATTCAATGTTGGAACAGCAATAAATGAGCAGAAGTGGGTATTTGGCGAAAGAATCGTATTTTGCCGCGCAGTGGGCGTCGCCTGCGACGATTTTGAATGGCATTCTTCGGGGCTAGACAAAGTACAGTCCTCATCATTGCGGACCGGTGGGGCGTGCCAGCCACGTGCCAGCCAGAAGGAGTGCGCACACTGTTGAAGCCGTTCTCAGCCTTTTTTGTTGCAACGCGTATGCGACAAAAAGTGGTAGAAAACGAGTGATACGAAGGATATAATACAGTAATGCACTTGCCCGCTTCAAAAACTGGTGCAGAACGATTTTGCCAAACCGCACAAAGCAGCCGCACTGCCACGCCCCACCGGTCCGCAATGATGAGGACTGTATGACTAAAAAGAAACACACGTATCTACCATGCTTTGTCTAAATGAAATCCGATGCTCCATTCGAAAGTCCAGTGCAAATCAAGGAAATATTGCACAATTTGCCGCGCGCGACGAAGCGGCGGTTTACGATTCTCTTGCCCGTCTTCCTAGCAGAAGTATCGTCGACATTGTCACAGTCAGTC